TATATCCTGTTTAGATTAGTCCATTCATGCTAACCAAGACACTTTTCATTTGTTGTAAAATAAATAAATACATAAATAAATAAACAAACATTTAAAAAGCTGCTTTTTAAATGGCAAAGCTTTAATGATACAGATCAATCCATTATTCCTCCAGGGCTTTTATTATTAAACTCTCTATAATAGATACAAATGACTATGTTTATCAAGCTCCAGAATTAACTATTAAGCCGCCACCTTCTTACAAATCTAAACACTTTCTTAGTTTTCACTTATTTCTTTTTAATGAATTCCACATGTATCTATTTATATTTAGGATATGGTTAATATATCTTTTTACTCCAAATACTCCCAGTTTGTTGGCTTTAAATGTAGCTGTTAAAAGGTTGGGTGTTTTAGCCTTTATGTAGAGCTGTTTGAAAGCACATCCACAGTGGGGAAAAAAGTATAAAACCAGCCTGGCAATGGACTCCAGCTGAAACACCCATGAGATGGTATTAAAACAAACACCAGAAGATAGAGCAGCAGTCACAGGCTGAGCCGTTGTCCTGCCTCATTTTGAAAGATCATATATCAATTTTTCGGTAAGTCAGATGGAATATAAGACCAATAGGAGACATGGCACGCTGTTTCTGTGTGTGTTTTCTGATCAGTTATTCATGCAGCTCATGCATGACTCACACTGCTTTGATGTGTACAAGACTGTACAACAGAAGGGTCCCTTGAGATTGAGTTTGAGCTTAACACCCTGAAGCCCTTCTCATCAGAGACCTTCCCATCTCCATCAGTGTCTTTCAACATCTCCCCTTTTTTCTATTTTTCCCCGTCCTCTCTAACCACATATATCTGTTTGTTTTGAGTGAGGTATATTGTGGGGTTAATTTCTGACTTTATTTATGTGTTGTGTTGTGTGTCCACAAACGCACAACACAATGAAACAGTTATGTCTGCTAGTGTACAGGGCAGCTGAAGGCTTGTGAAATTGATAACCACAGAAATCAGTATAAAAGCAAATCTAAATGTGTTCCTGTTTTGAAATAACGTGTACCTAAATTTTATGATTAATTTGGCAAAAAATAAATAAATAGAAGAAGTAGTCTTTAAGCATTTCTTGTGCTGATTGATAATGTGCCAAAGATAATTATTTCTCTGTTTACCTCCACTTTTCTTTCATTATAGCCTTTTGAATAAATATAGCACAAGAACATCTACGTTTATGGGCAAGTAAAACTTTTGAACAAGAAATGCAAAGAATCTACAATAAAATACAGACCACAGGAGAGCAACTACACCACGACAGCGTAATGAGGGATTTGATTTTCAGATAAAGAGCTCACCAAACCGGCAGCTGCGCGTAACAGGGTGTTTTTCTAATTTAAAGTACAATAATATAGGGATATGAGATTGACAGACATAATTTGATCCTGTTGTTTTCTATTTGCATGATTAAAGAAGACTGACGTGTCAGGCATATGTGTCATCCCCTCATGCCGCAGCTGGATTTGGTGAGAATAACGTTGTATGAAACTGTTCAGTTCTTTTATCAGATACAGCCTGTTCTGTCTCTGCATGAGAGTGAGGCGTTGCCTTCTCTTCACGCTAAATTTTTTTTTATGTTCAGTGGGAGTCTGGTCCAATCATTGTGGACTTTAGTGTCCTGCAGAACATTTGTTGCAAGGCATCTGAGCGTCACTGCTGATTTTTGTAAGTTGGCATATTACATAATGTATACTGTGCATGTTCTGCATTGTATTTAGATTGAACAGGGTCGTGGGAGGGCTGGAGCCAATCCCAGCTGACACTGGGTGAGAGGCGGGGTACACCCTGGTCAGGTCACTAGTCTATCACAGGGCTGACACATAGAGACAAACAACCACACACACTCACACTCACTACAGGCAATTTAGAGTCACCGATCAACCTAAACTACATGTCTTTGGACTGTGGGAGGAAGCCGGAGCACCGGGAGAGAACCCACACAGGCACAGGGAGAACATGCAAGCTCTGTACAGTAAGGTATTGGGTCAGCCCAGGCTCAAACCCAGAACTTTCTTGCTTGCCACAATATATAATACTATTAAATGTATGCAGTATATACTGACAGCAGCTTCAGTAGACTTACATTAAGATTACACAAAGTGTAAATATATTCAGTAGCAGATCACCTTAAATAACAGTTAACTAAATCACATTGTCTTTTTATTTGTATGTAGCAATGATCTTTAGTGTAAATGCAGCCACTGCACTGGATCTGTATTTGTTGGACATTATTTTCGCCTGTTTTATTTTGTGTAATTTCTACTTACTTTAAATGATTAGTTTCCTCTTCAGTATGAACGTAAATGTTCTAATGCAGTTCTGTGCCTTATGTAAAGCACAGTGAATTGCATAGGAATTTGAAAGGTGCCACGCTATTGCCTTGTCTTTTGTTATTTTAAAATGAACAGCACTTTGGTGATGCTGTCTTAGTGGTTTCAACAGCAACTCATGTGCCCAAATCGTTTTACTACAACTAAGAGGTCTACTAATGCATAGAGGGGGCTGACACATATGCCTGACACGTCAGTCTTCTTTAATAATGCAAATAGAAAACAACAGGATAAAATTATGTCTGTACGGTGTTTTATGGTTTTGTATTTGCTTGTAGCATAGTGTCGGTTCTGTAGATGTGCAGACCCTTCTATTAGCTGATGTGACACCCATGTTTTTCTTTTCTGGTCTGCTGTACGCACAGTAAAAATATGTTTTATTTAGCAGTAGCAGGATGGTGAATTGAAATCATCTTTCTACTAAAGGGGCTCGGTTCAGGTGTCAGCAAGCTGGTCCTTGAACACCATGCTGAATCTATATTAGCTACAGGGATGTTATGGTTGTGCTGTGGCTACCTTGTGACCAGAGAAAAACTGCCATGGATATTTAAACAGGATCAATATAGTATCATTCTTTTTTCTGTACATTCTGCCAGAGCATTTGCTGACATATCAGCCAGTCTGTGAAAAAATGGTCCAGGTGGTTTTTGAACCTTAAAGGGCTTAGACAGAACCTCTAACTCAGCACAACCTGGCTGGAAATTCTAGTGCCTTTAACTGAGACCACATATAAAGTACATGTCAACCGTGCCAGCCTGAGTCTTTGAAGCTGTTCAGACCTCAGCTGTTTCTTTATATCCTTCTAGTTTTCCTACAATACAACTGCCATATTTTTTTTTTCTATCAACCCAACCTTTTAACCACTGGATATGTGATATACTTTCAGTACGTCTCAGTCGTAAACCTGCCTTCATCCACCTTTTACATCTAAGCTGGGTTTCAACAACTTGGCATGACTGCAGATACTAAATCATCACATAGACAGTTACTTCAGTTTTAAATGAAAAGTGGTGTGTCTCCCTAACATTTATCAGACATTAAATATACTGTAAGGTAGTGTGCATAAATACAGGGAGCTGTTAGTTTGTAGACTTCAGAGATATACTCTAAGTCAGACTTCACACACACACTTCACTGACAGTGAAACGAATGGAGGCCTTCCTCTGTGAGTGTTAGTGGACACACATGTACTGTGACCACTTATACAAACATACACATGTATAAATGAATACCCCTGTTTTGGTAAAGGCTTGTCATTTATGGGCTTTGCCAGTTTTTTACTTGTATTTTTTTAAGTAGCCTGTGTTTAAACATTTTATCATGGTGTTGTGTTTCATGTTGCAAGAAGACACTTTTCACCACAGTGTGTAAGGCGTTTGTTAATGAAACGCCTTACACACTTCTTTTCATCAGATCTTTTATAGACAAATACATATTGGTAACATTTAGTATTTTTCTTTTTATAAAAGTAAAGAATGCACTTTTCTTATTGCCTAAGTAGTTGTTATTCAGACTCTCGTTCAGACTTCTACACTTTCAGACTTCTACCAGAATTGCTTTTCTTTTTATCATCCTGCTTGGTACCTGGGGCCATCTACATTCTGTTAAGCAAAGCCAAGGATGAGAGAAATACCACCCAACAAACAACTTTATAATAAAGAAAGCCTATTGTTTAGGTAATAGAAGCTTCCCAGCACTGTCAGTAGAGAAGGGTTGTCTTGTTATTAATCTGATCTGCTCATCTCCAATGAGTGCTGATCAAACGTATTTAAAAAACATACTTGTCAGATCAGCTGTTAGATCATGGAGGGGTGGAGCTGAGTTCAGTGGAGAACAGAGAGAACGAGAGACAGCAAAATGGAAACGGCAAGAGAGAACAATACAAAGAGATAGAAGAGAAAGAGAGTAGACGTGGCTGTAATTGACTCAAGATGAAAATTAATCTTTCAGGAAACTGATGGTTTTCACTGTCAAACTGACACAGCTTCCCTGAGTCAAATGTCCCTAATTTCAATATAAGTGACCAAAGGAAAGACTCTTCAGAGCATTTTATACATTTTGCAAAGATATTTGTTTTTACAAAACCTACTTTATGCCTTTATGGAAGAGTCATTCAAAATTCCATTGAATGCAAATGAATCAAGTTACAAAAGCAGACAACACTGACCCACCAGCAATCACAGTATATGACATTTTGACATACTGCAGTAGGGAAAACATAGGTGTTCAGTAAATAATACATTTACTAATGGCTTAACTCCATTCAGGTGCTTCAGTTTCAGGATCACGTTATAGCCCTTTTCACAGCAGCTGTTTTTGCCTTGTTGTAACAGGAAAATCACTGGTGTTACAATAACATTAATTATGGCTCTGTTCTTTTTAAGTGCTGCTATCCAATATCAAAATACCTACTGTGAAAAAGGCTCTTGTGTTGAAAAATTATGGGACTTTAAATTGTGCTTAGAGTTGCTTTAGAAAATGTGTCTACAAACTCCTGCAGATACAGACACAAAGCTCTCACAAATCCTGAAAGCTCTTATGTGCCTAGACCCTCTCAGCATCTCCGTGGTACTCGGAGGCCTTTGAATACCTGGCATGACTCTTGAACTCTGTCCTCTGCTGTTTCCCCTCCAGGACTGGTTGAGCAAGTTTGGCTACCTCCCACCCCCTGACCCAGTGACTGGTCAGCTTCAGACCAAGGAGGCTTTGACCAAGGCCATCAAAGCCATGCAGAAGTTTGGAGGGCTGAAGGAAACCGGAGTCTTCGGTATGTGACTGTGTTTGTTTGAGGGCAGCATGTAGGAGTGTTGGTTCTTTGGACAAAAAGAGGTGCAGTTCATGTGTTTGTGTGTTTACTGCTTTACCACAATATGTGACAGTGAGTTATATTTTAATCTAAAGTGTAGGTATACCCTACAGTACTGTATAATGCAATATACAGTAATGCAGTCCAACCAACAGTAACACCAAGTACGGCTTTAAAAACGCCTGTCGAGTTGAATCAGTATGCTAACACAACAGTGATAGAACTTTAGAAAGGTCATATTTATTTCAGGTCTTTTGTATTGGATTGCATCAAACTGTCATGTTAAACATTCTTCATACTTGTATGTGCTGTCACACACGCACACACACACACAGTAGAATGACAGTACTGCATTCTACATGACTGATAACAGTAGTACGTACAAAATTACACTATATTGTTTAGAGTAGTACACTTTCTGCTATTGTTCCTCATGTACTGTAAACAAATGTTTCACACATACAGTGTTGTCAGTCTCACTGACACACAAACACCACAGTCCTCCTCTGCATCTAGTATGCTCCTTTATCACACACCACTTCTCATACACCAGTAAGTTAGAGAATAGAAAGCATGATGATACCACACAGTGGTGTGTGTGTAAGTATAATTTATGACCTGAACAGTAGTGTTTGTGCGTATGTGTGTGTGTAAGACTGTATCTTAGAGAACACATATGATTTATGGCTTAAATGGCTTTTCACAATTTCCTGTATATGCACATATGTATGAATGTGAGGACATGAGTTATAGCTACTGACACGGTCTTTTTCCAACAGATGTTGAACCTGGGTGGTGTTAGATTGGTTGTCTTTCACTTTAAACATCGTCTTTATATTAAACATAGTCTGCATTCCCTTGGTAACTTTCATCTGTCACAGAAAAGAAATAAAGTCATATCTTTGATAAACATACTATTATTAATACCACTACTACTACTACTATTACATTTCACCACACCTGCCTCTTCTTTTCTCTTCTCTTTAGACCAAGCCACACTGGGTTTAATGAAAACACCCAGATGTTCTCTGCCAGATGTGTCTGAGGCTGAGGGGACAATGGGCCGCAGGAAACGAAGCTTGAACCCTCAGAGCAAATGGAATAAGAGGCATCTGTCCTGGAGGTAGGGAAGAAAGAAATATCAGTCTACCAAACACTATAAAGTTACACCTCAAAAGAAGGAAATGATCAGAACACGTTATCAAGCGGCTTTGAAACCAACTGATCCAAAATCGCTCATCCTTTACATCTGTAGTAAAGCTGAATGCTGAATGGTGCTGCACATAGATGGGAGCACTGAGCCAGTGGATTCAAAATGAGTTCTTATCCCGATCACATTGAAGCGTTTTTTTGGCAGGGACAGACGGATTACTGTTGCTTGGCAACCACGCAATTTATTAGTTACTTGTATGTGCACATGCCAGCCATAATTAGTGGTAAAAAGTAACTAGTTACCTTTATTCAAGTGCTTTTAAGGCACTTGTATTTTATTTAGGTTTCCATTTTATACACTATGCACTTTTAATTAATAATTACTTTGCTGATACAGATTATTAATACACAATCAACAAGTTAACCAGCAGTATATAAGGTACAGTAGTTATAATTATACTCCTCTTTTTCAGCTGCAACATTAAAGTGATACATACAGTACGCGAGTCCATCAATGGTTATAATAAAATACATTATTTTAAAACTGTCTGTGCTGCATAATGGGCACTTTTACTTTTAGTACTTTAAATATATTCTGATGTTAATAATTCTGTACTGAAGTAAAATTTTGAATTAGCTTGTAACAGAGCATTTTTTCACTGTAGTGTTAATATTTTTACTGAAGTAAAAGATCTGGGTGAGTACTTCTTTCAGCACTGGCAACAACAAAAATTTGAGCATCTTAAATTCATTAAAAATAAGCAGCCATTTCTATACATTGTTGTTTTTGCTCTAAGATTTTATTGCTAATCACTCAGGTAGCAGCTCTGAGTTTATAGCAACAATAGTTTAGTTTTCGTCAATGTTTTCCAGCTCAAACTTGAATATTTTGATGCCTCCGTGCTGCTGCTTGAATCCACAAACCATCAGATTTTCATTGTCTTCTCTGTGCATCCCTTGATAGATTATATAAGGTGACTCTTTCTCAAGGTGGAAGTCTTTTGGTTTCCCGATCAATTTTGGCTCAAAGAAAGCATTTTGTTAAAGTGCTAGAGAAACTAGAAGCATGCAAAGAAATTGCAAGTACTTTCCTCCTTCGACAATATCCGGCGAAACAAACTCCTGTTGCTGTGCATGAGAAGATTTAAAATACATAAAAAAATCTAATGAAGTTCACTCCTAGTAATGGATGGAATATTACTCAGAGACCAGAGTCGCCTGTATGATTCCTGATGAGCAAAGGTACTGTCCCAGAGTCACCTGCAGTTTATACAGCACATGATAAAAATAATATGATCATGTTGCATGTAGCAGGACCATCTGTCACAGGGATACAGCTTAGTGCTAGACAGCAGCGGAAGAGGCACTGAAACATATGGTTGGTCTGCAGTGATTCACACACACCATCGGGGATGATTCAACAAGAAGGTGATCAAGCTGGTGTGTCAGCCAGTGTGCGGTGTGTATATGTGTGTGTGTGTACCCATGCAGCAAAGAGCAACAACCTACCCATCACTGCAGTAGATACAAAAGCACATGCACACACAGTCACTTGCAAACATCGAGAAAAATACCGGGTCAGTCATACATAGGCACACATGCACAAAAAGGAACACACACTGCACAACACAAAAAGACCACCGCTGTCCTGTTCTACAAGATATGTTTCATTTCTCTCTTTGTGTCCACGCTCTCTTCCTGCTGGTGAGAGGTGTTTGTAAGGGGTCAGAGCTTCTCAGTCAGACAGCCTTCAAATAAAGTCATGACAGTCCCCAACGTTTGAGGAAATCTCTCCACTTCTCCGTTTGCTTGCCCATTCATGGGTAGTGACCTCTCTCCGATTTCAGCCAGCAGTGTTGTTGCTGAGGAGAGGAGTCAATCTTAACTTTTTTTTAAGAGTGCCTGACCAATTATTATTATTTTACAAATTGCAGGCCATTTGTGTTGCTTTGCTGTTTGTGGCTGGGATGTAGAATGGTGTCATTTAAATTTAAATTTTTTTTCTGTGTTGTACTTGGGACACAACTAGCCTGTCACATCACTGCAACTATGAATGGATTGATATAAAATTTGGTTAATGTTCCCCTGAAAGTGAACAGTCAGAATTTTGGTGATCTCTTAAATCTGCATCTACTGCCATCATCAGGTCAGCATTTTAATTAGTGCAATACTTTACCACAAATACCCGCCAAACTAATGACATTCCCATCAGCCTCATCTGTAGTTTGTGTTTAGTGCTAATTAGCAAATTAGCGTGCAGCTGAACTAAGATGGTGAACCATAATCATGTTTGCAAGATGATGTTAACACAGCTCATAGCAGCACTGTGCTGGTAGCATGACTGTAGAGTTTTGCTGAAGATGGAAAAACAGGGCAGCATTGCTGAAGTTGTCTGTGCATTGCATGAACAAACCATTTCAGTGGAGTGCTGCCTTATTTTTCATTTTTGATTTTTGCCCCTGAGGAGACAAATGTATCTGGGTTTGGCGTGCTGATTTATGACTTGTTTAATGTAGAAGTTGATCTGTGTCACTTGATACACAATAACCACAGCAACATTTAATGCTGCTCTGCAAAACAGTAGCACTGTCATCTTTTAGATTTAGTATTATTATTGTTCTCTGTATTGTGCTCTAGAGTGTTGAGACATTTTCTTTCACAAGTGTAAGTGGCTAAAATGCTTTAGCTTAGATGAGGATGAGGGTGTTTACAGCTGACAAGCCAGAATAGCATCTCAGTTTAGCAAGGTGTTGCTTTGCGGTAAGATGCAGTGTGTACCTGACAGAAGGAATGCGCTGCAACAGACAGGTAGGCTGACCTTGGCAATGCCATCAGAATATATGATGCTGAGGCGGTGAGTAGCAGACCTAAGTTTGGTTTGTGCAGTGTACACAAAGTGCTTTAGTTGGAATGACGAAGATGCTGGTTCTGCAAATGCAGCAAGCTGCTTTTATTTGTAAAGGATGTTTTCGTTTGGTTTACCAAGATGAATGAGCTGTTCTCATTTCCAGACACATGAACATATGCCATAAAGCCTTAAGACAGGATCAAAAGCTAAATGAGTTTAGTTTGTTTTGCCAGTGTTTTGCTGCAATATGGGACTCGAATGTGGAGACAGCCCAAGCAACACCAAAGAAAATCAACAAAAAGAAAAAGGTTGAGTATATTCAAAATGAAACAACAAGAAGAACAAACAAAAAACCACAAATAAACAAAGATCTTTAAAAATCTCTGTAGATGGTTCACAGATTTTGACATTCTGAAAAACACAACACGCAAAACAGTTTGTTTTTGTAGTTCCAGCATGATATTCATCTGTAAGGCTGAACGGTTTATCTCCTCTCTATCACTACACAGAATGCTGATAGTGGACATTTCCACAAAACCACAAATTATGCACAATAACATGTTTAGCCATGGCTTTAGGGATGGCATCGTATGTCTGTTGGCTTGTTAATCGGTCCACTCATCTGGACAGTTTTATTTGATGGATTGCTGTGAATTTTTTTTCAGATATCCAAGTTCCCAGGCATATCTGGGATGCATCCTAATAACTCTGAGGATCACCTGGCTTTTCATGTAACACCACAGTGTTTAGACAGTTATACTGTAAGTTTGTAGACCATGTTATTTCATTGTTTCACTTTTACTGTGCCAGCGAGCTACAGTATAATTAAGGCTAGGAAAAGATTTTGCTTATTGCAACACAACAATGGTTATTCTATTGTTACAGTAGGATTAGGTCATTAAAACCCCAGGTTACATCTTGGGGAAAATGTTTGTTACACTAAAATTAACATGACACATTACTTCCTCCATTAGAACTGAATCTTGGCTTTGGATATACATTGCTGGATGCAGAGTTGTCCAATATAAACCTAATTTCCACGGATTCTGGGCCGACTCATCCGGCCAGGATTACCTGGGAAGTGTAAGTTTGTTCAACGTAATGACTGGAGAGAGTTTTCTGCTCCACAGTGGTTTGCAGCTAAAAAAGTAATGGGTCAGTCTGTAAGAAGGCTGATTTCAGAGGGATGAGCCACTTGTCACTGGGAGCAGGATGGCTATCGCTTACTGATTATAAATTACCTTGTGACTTTGTCCTTGTGGCACTGCCTTGCTGAAATAATCCCTCACATCCACACACTGGAGGCTTTCACTCAGAATTTTTGGGAGGAGGGCGTGGGGTCAAGATGTGATTGCAACAGGGCTCTTGCAGATTTCACCTGACCTGCAAAACTAGGTGGTAGCAATCCAGCATCACTCTACAAGAGGTCCACATCTGCTTCAGGGAACCAGCATGCACACTATTGTGAGGACCTGCTGGTTTATGACTGGAACATTTTGCTATTTCTCATCACTCTCGCTCTCTATCCCGTGCCTGCCAACCTACTACTGCCAATCATCATGCCTTACACTGCCTTCAGCTTGGCCCCACTCGGCTTTGTGAAAAAGAGTCAGCCTGTCTTTTCAGTCCAGTGAAGCCACCTTTCCACTTTCCACGCTCGCATTTGTGTACCAGCACAAAGCAGCCAAGATTTATTGGAAACTGAGATATATGGACCTTGTGTCTTTTGTAGATTTTTTTTTTTTATCAGCCTGGAGCTCCTGCCAAGAAACAGATGGTGAATTCATAGTGCTGTTATTATAAACACTTGTGGATTATTTATGGATTTCAGATTCAGTCCCCTTATTGTGTGGTTTATCAATATTGCAACATAGTAAAACCTATATTCCACAAAGAACCGCTGTCTCTGAAGTGTTTAAGAAAATCACTTTTGTCCAAGTATTTTGTTTGATTTGTAATGTGCATGGTTTCTTGCTTGCTTTTTTATGAACTCGGTCACTTGTGTCTTTATTATAGATATTTGCTGGAATATTGTAGTGCCTAACTGATTTCTGAGGTGGAAAATTATTACCTACACACCAAAACGCACCCTCAGTAACATCCACTGTACACCCCTGTAGAGT